CAATGCAAGACCTTAATGTCTCACCCAAAGGAAGACACCTCCTCTAGCAGAGACTCCACTCACCATACAGAGACAGTGGTTTGGAAATTCCTGTCCAGAGAGAAGAATGCTACCTTCTGATCAACCACACCACTTACTTCATCAACCTGATTTACCTCAGAGGTCTCCAAGCATAGTACTCACCAGACCTAGGCTTGCACAGCTTCAGAGATCTCATTAGATCAGGCTAGAATGTGGTGATACTGGTGTATTTCTGGTGTACAGAAAAGCACCAGAGCCATCTGTCACAAGGAACAGAAGAGAGCTAAACTCAGAATGAATCTTCAAGTGTCTAGAGATCACTAGAGAAATAGTATTCTAGAGAAATCTAGAGAAATAATATTCTCTGTAGAAACTTAGTAGGGAGCGCAAAGAGGCAGCGCAATCACAGCAAAAGATGGTAGTCAGGTCCTAGTGAAGTATTTATGATCAGAAGCAGCCATGCCCAATTCAAGGGTGAGCTCATGAGGTCTTGTGTATGGTTTGGCAATGAAGCCCACATGTCTCCGAATCCAAGCACTCATCGTAGCTTTGCATAACCCAGGTGTCTGGAGAAACTGAGCGGAGACACAGTAATATCAGTGATCCCTGCCAACACCCTTCACAGTTAAGAAGGGAAACTGGCACTAACACCAACAAGTCCCACCAACATCAATTATGAAGATTAAAAATGACACAGATGGGACATTTTTATTTGCTCATCGAGATTTTCATAACGGACTGGGGAGTATGCTTCCCATAGAAGGCATAAACTGACCTGTACTGTTCTTAGAAAATGCAGAAAGTTTTAAGAAGAAGGTAAGGCTAAAACGATCTAAGACACCAGTGACACCTAATCAAGAATATTATGCCCAGATAATTAAAAAAGGATAATGCTCATGCACTGAGCCAAAGAGAACACCATATTCCTAAAACGGTACACAGTAAGTATGCTAGCCTGCTTTTAAATTCGATATTTTTGGTGCATACAAAACACTGTAATGAAATGTTCACTTTATAATTGTTTTATTTAAGCCTAATTTGACACCTGTTAATTGCTTTCTCTGTCTGACTGGAGGGTGGGGAACTTATCCATTTAAAGTGATGACTGTTGATTAATTAGTCATTTGTTTTCTCCATATTAAATGGTTTTAATCTTAAAACTAAAGCTGCCTCTAATCTATTTAGTCACAATGGGAGAGAAATGTATCTTCATAGCCTTTTGGCATGCTCTCTTACATTAGTTAAAAAATAGAAGAAGAAAATTATTAAATCAAATGCTTGCATTTTCTGAATATATTTAATTTGCAAGTCTTAATATGCTGTGGCAGTACTATTCATTTTAAAAGGTGAAGAACACACTTTAAATTGTTAAGTGCTTGCGTTTTAGATAGTTAACAGGTCTAAATAAGCAATTTGACATGAACCCTTTGGATTAAAAGGCTGGTGTTTTATTATGAAGATGTGAGAGCAGGGAGCTGCATCAACATGCGAGCTGCAGAGGAAAAAGTAGAGGCTAATTCTGTGCTGATAAGACAAATAAAAGAGTAAATCAAACATATCTATTATTTAGCATTTTGTGAGCAAGACATTTTAAACTAAAGTAAGATTGTCTCACTGTACATGAATGTGATTGAAGTTTAAATCAATTCTCTTTGCCTGCAACAAAGCTAACTTAAAAGTGCAAATTTTAAAATCCAGGAGGATGTAGCCAAAGGCAACCCCAAAAGCACATCCCTTCAACATGAGAAGACAGACCAGGGTGTACGGAAACACAACACAGAAGCAGTTAGAACACAGAAGAGGAGGCGCTTCTAAGGACGGACTATAATACTACGGAAGAAACCACTGCAGCATATTACAGAAGCTAACTCTCCAGGACTCTTTCAAAACAGCGGGATAAGGTTCAAGGATTTATAAAATACAAGCAACCATATGGACAAGATGAGCTAACTGACCTGTTCACTTTTGCCAACTTCATGTTTCTAGTCCCCTGCCAGTATTTCTACATCTTAAGAGAAGAATGACAATAGAGGAAGGGCTAAAGGCCGGATGCAAACATTGCATCACTAAATTGCAGCCACTCATCTCCTTATCTGCCTTGATCAAACACTGTGCTTTAGGACCTGAATCTCTCGCACTGTTCTTTTCTTCTGCAGAATCTTTCTGCTGTTATAACCACTATCTATTCCCTCTATCACAACAGGCCACTAAAAAGAGTTTATCAGTATTCAAGCAGAATACAAGTAGTTTTGCAACTGAAACATAATATGACCTTTCTCTAGAACTGAAGACCTCATGCAGATTTTATCTTCTGCAATGTGTAGTTTTAATCCCATAACGTACACACTGCATCCTTAACTTTGATGTTTATTTTTGCGGACATTTAGTTTTCTTTCAGGAAACAAAGGGAGGATTTCCACATTAAAGTAAAAGCGCACATTTACCTTATCATATACTGTAACAGAATTATTTTTTATGCATGTTACTTAAATAAGCACAGAGCGATTCAGACTCAAGGTGTGTCCTGGGTAATAAGCGTGCAAGAAGGAAATCCAGTCCTCAACTCAGTTAAGCGATATTTGTGGTGCACTGAACTGACTTGTAACTTTAACTTTAACAAGATTATTCAGGCAGTGTGTGTGTGTGTAGGAATCACACTGCACAAATAATGTTTGAGTAACTTCTATAATGACCGAGAGGCAAAGATTAGGGGTCAAGGAAACCAGGTTCAGAGTTAAGGAAACAGAGCAATTGCAAATTCACTTGGATCTACTGACAAAACTGGACAATCTGTCAAATTGTAAGCATCTTGGAATGACCCCTGGGCATGAACTGCCACTGACCCCAGACTTTGAAATGTTGGCTCTCGAGGAAAACTGTCTGGAACATGTTTATGTTAGTTCTTGTTTTTATGCATGTTTCTGCCACATGAAAGAGACAATGAACATCCCAATGCAGCCCATCTCAAAATCCACACCATCTTCCAAAAATAATGAGCACCTCCATACCCTTGGTGATCCTTCAACAAGGTGATTTAAAGAAAAAAAGTCTCGTTCAGAGGAAAGGCTATATCTAAGCCTGATCAATTCTGTTTGAACCATCCATTCCATTAATGCACACAGTAACATGATCCAAACATCATCTACCCAGGTCTGATAGCTTCCTCTTGTTTGCCACCTATAATGTGTTCAGATTGATGTCTGACATACAGTAGGAATGACCAAAGCCATGCCCTTTCATTGTTGTGTATTCTGGTATCAAGGTTAAGTACAAAAAAACTGACGTTAATGTTGTGCATGGATTATGATGGCATAATGCTATGGCTATAGCTGTACCAACTATCAAGCACCATGATGTCTGGTTTTCTAGGGTAAATATCTACTACAAAGCACATGTGGCATTAAGCATTATAAACCTGAAGTGCACTACTAAATGGCTGTAGCTTAAGAGTGCTTCCAAACTCTGGTGCTGGCAAACACCATGACCTCTGGAGTTTATTCCAAATGAGCTCTGAATCAGAAACCAGCCAATCCCTTCAATTGAACTTCTGGCTTGATTTGACTTTTTCGACCCATTTTTGCTGCGCTCACTCTTTGGTTTCAGAAATGCCCCCGAGGTCTCACGTGGTCACTGTGTCGAAGTGGACTGAAAACCAAGAACAGGTCACACTTCTTTACCCGACTGGCCATAGGAGTGTGGAACAAGCAAACCCAGTCACGTTGTTGAAGTCGATACCCTGGTTTCTTGTAAGAAACGGCTGGATGAGATACTTGACACTATTAACTTCGAACTACAAAATGGACGGGCCAGATATTTTGTATGGTCTATTTTCTTTTGGAACCTGTATTTTTTATGCACACCCCAGTGTTGGTGTAGATGTTTTGAACAAATTCAGCAAACAGAGCTCTCTGCACTCCTTTTCTCGCGCATTCAGTGGTTTCTCTGTTTTTTTTCTCTCTTAACAGCTCTCAACAGGCAACCAATTAAGGATGTCTTGGCACAGGTGGGTATCAAAACCATCCCACCAAAATAAAAAGCAACTCGGTGCACTGCTGAGGGGTCCAATTACTTACAACATGCATTAGGCCAGATGTGAACCCCAAAGATTGTTTCAAAGCTTGATGCTATTAATCCCATCCACAATCTTATTGAGATTAAAGAAATGCCTCCCTCAGCAACAGATAAATTAACCGAAATGATTAAGAGCGCCCAGAAGATGTAGGAGTCTCTCCTGAAACCGGAATTAAGAGCCACTGCTGTAAAAGACCAAAGGCAAGGGGTAATTTTCAGAGAAACGCGTGCAAAAGCAGTTCTTGCGAGAAATGCTTGCGTTTCAGTTAATAGTGTTAGTATTTTTCGCTCTTTGGAAACGTCATACAGTTCGCCTTTTGTTTGGTTCAGAGATTTTTCTTCCTCGCTTTTCGCTGCTCGGATGTGATTTGATACGAACAGAGTAAAAGTGCTTTTGGCGTGGCAAGGGTGTGGCTTAAACAGAGGGCTTGATTTCACTAGAATCTCGTTAACGAGGAGTTAAAAGCCGATCCAGCTATACAGTGTTTGTCTGATGAGCCCATGGTATTCCTTGAAGTCTAACTCCCGATTTGTTTCGGGCCGTGTGTTTAACTTTCCTTGTCAATGTCTGTAACATTGTAGTTACGAGGCAAACGAAGGATTATTCACTGATGAGCTACAATCGACGCTGATGCACGTTGTCCAATACTTCCGATTAAAATCACAAAGCTCAGAAATTAAGTACGTGGAACGCCCTTGCATGAATACAATTAAAAGATTTAAGAAAAGTTTGTTTATGCTATTTAGGATTCGTTACCATAACCACTAATATTATATTCGCATTATCATTTTCGCAATGTCTTCCGAAATTAATCGGTAACACCCCATCATTGATATAACAACAGGACTGAATTAATGCAGTACTGTACACGGATATTTAAAAAAAGTGCGGAACCAGCACACCAAATCTACTTAAATATATAAGCGCCCCCTTCAGGCTATTCTGCATGTAGTTTCAAAGCAGTGCAAGCACTTGAATCCCAGTTTCCAGGTAAGGCTGTTTACTCTTCTGTGACCAGCAGCTGGACTCGTGAAATTGTTTACCGTGTATCGATGTTTGCATTTTGAAGGTTAAACCTCACTGCGCAGCCGGGAGGACAAGGTTAAAATAAATTAAATTCAAACATTGTGCGGTTCCAGTGGAGTTCAAGGCAGGTGTCAAATCAAAACACTAAGGAAATCACCATATTTTATCCGCCTGTCCTGATTTTCACCGTGCCTTTGTCTTGTGTTCGCTTGTTACAATTTGATTGGCGATTTATTTTTTTCCTGGTGCCTCGGCGGAATGAAACAGCACAGAGACGCGAGTCTAAAATTTTAATTTTGTGCAGCACTCCTCTTCCGACAAATAAGACTGACTCCTAAGTTCAACCATAAGGTTTCTGTAGGTCAAATCAGTTTCAAAACGTACAATACGTCACTTACTTTAATAATCCAGCAATCTGACGTGTGCAACGCTACAGGCGAAAAGACAACACGACAGGAGAACAACTTTCCACCTACGTTTATGATAGTACGGTATACCGGTATATTGAGTGCACAACAGATTTTTACAACTGAGGCCAGATGACAACTCTTCACAATTCATGGGCTTATAGTGATTTCCACTACTATGAAAACCAAGAATGTGTTTCTAAGAACAACCTTACTCTACTGTACTGCGTTCTTGGTTTTCTATCAAGCTGAATAAAAACCTAAAAACACGACCAAAAGGAAACGGTACCTACAGTACGGCTAATTCTGACATCCCCTGTCCTACACAAACTGTAGTACAATCCCTTATTTACATTGAACTGTCTACGTACGAGTTTCTTAAAACATCTCCTGTCGCTACCTTTCTGTCCAGCATTTCACAACTTCATGCTGCGCCTAATACCTGTAGTAACTCGCAGGACTGCCGACCACGAATCAGAATGAACGAAACTTCCTATTTTGAGTCACTTAAACTGGACAATTCCTCAATTTGTAAAATAAAATGCCCTTGAAAATGCTTCGAACTACAGCTGGTTCCCTGTAATGTAAAACTGCCTTATAGACGTATTGCACGAAGACGCTGAAATTTCTTGTAGCCAGGATTTGCAAACGCGCTGCATAAATCCCCTTTTTGAGAAGTAACTGTTCTCGCACGCTGAAATTCAACAACCTACCCCACCGCAAAAAAAAAACCCTAGGCTGTAACAGTGGATACTGTTTCATTTGCTGCTTAATGTAAACACTCATTAGCCTCGACACATTTACTGTACGATGAAGTTGGGAGGGAGAAACAAAGTCTCCACAACTGAAGGGGGAAAAAAACTGATACACAAGTGAGACCAGCTGGTCGTAACGCAGATGCATCTTGTAGGGGAAAAAATGCAACAATATTTAAGAGTTGGCTTTCTTCCTACCTTATGACCGCTGTATCACCCTGGCGAATTGTGATGTTGTCGGTTGTTCGCTGCATATCCACGCTTCGGACAGGGAGTCCTGTTGGAATAAGGCACAGTAGTCTGAGCAGAGCAGCCTGCAACTGCCTCTTACAAGATCCCCTTCCCACCATGATCGGGGTCGGCAAAGGAGTCGAAACGGCAGATCCCCAGCAGTGTTTGTGTTTTGTGCACTTTACGGAGAAAGACGCAGTTCTGTTTTGATACTCCAGAAAGGGGGCAGGTACTTAAAAAAAGAAATCGCACAGAAATGGAAGAAAGCAAAGCGCGGTGATGACCAAAAGGCAGAGTCCAGCGGTAAAGAGGAACTCCTCAAACCTCGGCGAGTAGCGTATTCCACTTAACCTGACAGCGTGGGTATATAAAGACCTGCGAAAGATTAGCGGAGCGCTGCTCGGAAAGTGTGTGAGATTTCAGCACTCTTACGCTCTGCCTGCCTCTCTCTCTCTTTCCCTCCCTGCTTCCAACTCAACCCCCTCCCCCGCTATACCTCACACTGTTGGCCCCCTTAGGCATCAAGCCTTCTCGAAAGCCTGATACTCCCTTATTGGTTGTCACGACAACACAGCACCATCTGAGGTCCCGTGTCTACAAAACACAATTGCAGTTTATATGCACAAATGAAGAACCCCCCCCCACACACACACACACACACACCAACCCCTCCCCGTTTAAGAAAACAAATCGTTTTGAGTTGGGGGGGGGACTTTCTCCTGATTTTCGAGATTGTTTTGGTCTGTGATTCTATTTTAGGGGTCGTCGTACTGTCTTGATCAGGTTGTTTTGATACACTTTTTTGGGGAGAGAGGGAGGGAGGTAGTGTCCGGTACAGTCAGGCCTTACAGCCAGCAGATTTTAGGGGAATGTAAACTTATGAAGTGGCACAGTGTTGAAAACACTATTGCAAAGATAACGTGAACAATACTACTCCTAGGACAACAATTAATAACCATTACAATCACTAGCAGCATCACCACTGCTTAAAGATGGCATCACTCAAACAATACTTTTTCACACTCAAAAATAACCACAAAATTTGGGCCTAATGGTAGGTACAGTATGTAAATGCTGGGGTAAGGATGAACTCTGCTGAATCTTGCACAATTACAGAGTTTTTCGGGCACAATCCTTTCCTGTTATTATTATTATTTAAGACACTGTGACTGAGTAAGTGCGTAATTAAATGTATTAGCATGCAGCTTGTTTTTGAAAGAGTGCTTTTTAATAACTAAAGGATCCCTCTGTTTACTTGGCAGCCAATCAAAGATGCGATAATGACAGTCCGGAATAATTGCAGTGCTGCTCGGATTCACACGTTTAGCCAAAGCTCGAATATTGCTATTATACAGCCTGGGCTGAAGAAAATAATTACTTTAGTGGGTACAGGATGTTTCACACCTGATAAAGAAGACATCTCTATTCTCTAAGAAGCTGCACATTTAAGCGTTTGTCTGAACGTGTAGTGGTTGGGGTTGTTACTGAAATGAAAATGCTGATTCACCAGGAGAAGAAGAAAACTACAAAATGGGAGGGATAGAGGCAGTGGATCAGGCTTATTCATTTTACGAGTGTGTGGGATTTGTATTAACAGGAAAAGAATGACAAAAAAGAAAACGCTCCCACCAATCACCGAGAAGGACGGTGTCAACATCCTCTGCACGAAGGATGTGCTTACAAATGGGAAAATAAATGCAGCAGGCATCTTTGGCTTTTAAAAAGTTTGCAGACTTGATTGGTAAACAGCGGTCTGTATCAGTTGTTGGTAAAACTGTTTACTTTCAAAGGAGGAGGGGAGTAGGAACAAACCAAAGGAATCATACTGTAAAACGTAAGTGATTTTTGCATAGAACGAGACTACCTGTAGAACGTACTACCCCCAAAACAATGGCAGCTAAGATTCACTACCCAAATGGCAGACCCTCATCTCAAAGTCAGACATCTGTTTCTACTTAGCTGACATTCCTGGAGCATAAAATAAACAGCAGATTACAGAAAGAAATACTGAAGTACTTCTTCAGTTGCTTGGTGAGCATTGTATTTTTACCGTTTTAATACATATTTTTTTTCTACAGTACAAAACTTCTAAAGCAAGTAAAGTGTTTATTAGGTGATACCACTTTAAAAAACAACATTACATCCAATTTTAAGACAAAACAACGCAGAGGCTGTGGCTTGATGAAGGAATACCGTCCTTCAGTTCCTAAAATGACTTTACCCTGCAGAAGCAGAAGTGTCTGAATCTGAACAATTTGTTTCATTTTTAAATAGCATGTACTCACACAGCTCAACCCCAAAAGGAGTGGAATGAAAGGCTGTTTTTCTTTCTTTTGAAATAAAGTGCAGATGTGATGAAGATAACAAGGATTGTGACTATTTTTTTATTTTGTTAGATGCTTTTTTCCACCATTTAAATAGCAGTTCATTTTAGAATTAACATAATGCATCTTTCTACGGGGGCACAAAGTTCATCTTTCTACGACTCATTAGTATTGGTTCAGTTATCTAGATCACCTTTTGAAGTCTCAGTATATGTAAATGTAATATATGTGTAAGATATTTCTAATGCATTTATATATAAATTCTGAAGCTAAATGATCTCACTTAGTTACAGATATTAATAATAATCTTAATATTAATAAAATGCCTTGATACATCATTTTAAACTGCCTTACAATAAGACATACATATACAGTACAAACAATAATAAAGTAAATAGAACTCTAGAGTATACATATAATCTTTCTTCCACTCTAATTTGTCTAAGGGTAAAGGATAAATTATCACTTCTTTTTTGTAGCCTCACACCCTCTGCTGGTTTTTCCTGTTCAGCAACTACAAGTTAGCAATAAAAAGCTAGCTTCTGAACTAAAGCATTCATGTTTTAAAGTTCTATACACCTACTGCAAAATAATGTTTAAATTATTTTTAAGCAATGCAAAACAAAGCAATTCCACTTCAGCAATAATACACATTCTATATTACTGTACAGTAGTTAAAAAAAAAACACAAGCCAAGCATTATCTCCTAATGGAAATAGGTCAGTATTTTAAGAATAGTTCTCAAAATGTGCAGTGAGAAATGCACATTTGTATCTGTTTTAATTCCTGTATTAATACAAACGGGAGACAAAATATTTGTTGCTTGTGTTTTTGATGAGGCTTTGTAAATTGTATGCTTATTTATGAAGTAATAGATGGGCATGTCAGTGTACAGTATATCCAAAGAGTCCCATTTGGGAAATTAATAATACCTAACCCAAACACACAAATCATTGGGATATGTTAATGTATCACACAGTGAACGTTCAGCTAAGGATAGACAGTAGTTCAACAGTGCATTTCAATAAAAAATTAAAAGGCATTCAGCTAAAACCACAATCCCATGAAACAGCGCTATTGTTAAGGCCAAGAAAATGCATCTCCTCCATGGAAAACGCTTCATAAGTGCACCAGACTTCTGCTACAGATATCAATGTGATTTGGAGGGGAAATGGAATCCAAAAATTGGACACAATACAAAAAAAGCAGCATACATTGTTTTATCTTTCCACTTTGTTCCTTTGTCTGGGCTCTCTCCTGATATCAGGAAAATTGCAGAATGTCTTGGAGTTGACAACAGGTGTGCCAACTCACTGAAAATCACAATTCATCAATGTTGATAAATGTAGTTGAGGAATCAGTTTCTTGACCAAAAAAAGGGGCTGGGGGTTATATAGTACTGTACATGTATGAGCTACAGGATATAAAATTCAAACTGTCTTCAGACTTTAAACAAATATATATTACAAGTTCAATATGGTAAAACCTGGTTAGTTCTTGATATTGGCAGTTGCTGAATAAAGACGTCCCTTTTTTTCTCCATCTTCTTTTCAGTATTGCCTCTGTTAGACATGATCTCTCTACTCTCTGCTCTGCACTACAGCGCAAGTAGTAACCATAGAGACTCGCTGTAACTGCAGTTCTACAGGGTTGCTGATCTGGTGGGGGCATGGTGGGTGTTGGTGGGGGGGGGGTGAATTGGGCACTTTGATCATTCTGTGCGTGGAGAGGAAGGAATAAACGAAATTATTTTCCACTTTGCATGCAGTAAGACATAAAAGAAGACAAAAGTGTTTGGAATAATTGGTTGCATTAATTAAACCACTGTAATTCTAATGATGCGACTATGCTGGCCCACATGGGAAGTTTTAAGAGATACTTCAAGCAGTGCTGCTGCTAACGCAAGAGGTAGTTGTGGACAGCTGTGGAGATACATTCTCCAGTATGTTAAGGATAAAAGGGGTCGTCAAACATGGGGAATGCATTGTTCCTAAATAATCTTTTCCAGGATTTTTTTTTGGTCATGGAGACAATAAATATCAATCAAGTAATAGCAGAAGCAACAGACACCTGAAAAAAAAACATTTGCACTTATATTGGGTGTTTTAGTGGACTTGTGTTTTTACCTATGAAGGAGAAACTAGATTAATAGGTTGAATGTACAGTTTGAAATGGTGGACTTCATGATACCTTATCAATTTAAAAATAATGGTAATTGTATCTGTTCGATACAGGTCTTTTTAAATATTTTTACATTTCCCCTCTATTCAACTTGAAGTTTGTACTGACAAAGTTTTAACAGTTTGTAACAAAAATATAAATAATAATAATAATTCTTGGCATTTATGCCAGTTCTCTTTAGCCCGGAAGTGGATCCTCCACTTCATCCACTACCCACCTGTATGATTCATGGTAGCCCCCCACCACCACCACACACAGGAGAGCAGGTGGGGAATTGAGAGACCTCCTTACCAATTGAAGTATCTCAACCCCCACACCCCGCGCATTACAACTAGCTTAGTTTCCTTTAAGTGCTCCTCTCTATGGTATACACCTGAACTGTGCTCTTTGAAACTAACTGGGCAGCGTCTGGAGTGCTGAAGAAAAAAAAAATGGCCAAGTGGTTCACTTATAATGAACACCTGCAAGTCTACAGAGCTGCTCTGGCTTCTGCCAGATCCTCCTGTATCTTCGACACAATCAGCTCTGGACTAGGAAATCATAAAGTGCTCTTCTCTGTTATTAACAAGCTCATTAAATCCCCGGACAACTCTACTCATTCTTCCACCCCTGACCTCTGTCTTACGTTTTTGCAATTCTTTCAACCAAGACCGATGTTATAAATCTACAATTATCTGAATCAAGTCCTACCTGATATGGACAACTATTTGAGCCCTAGTTTTCCATTGTCATCTCCTCTGCACCAGAGTTTTCTGAATTAACCAGCTCAGATCAACTTCCAAAAATGATTAACAGCTGTAAAAGAAACTTCTTGTTACCTAGATCCCATCCCTACCTCTTTACTGAAATCTTGGCTGACAGACGTCTGTCCTTTAATTGTCCATATCATCAACCCTGTCCACGGTCGTGGTCTCCAGCACTTTAAAGACTGCATCAATCACTCCTGTACTAAAGAAACCTGGCTTGTATCCTGATATAATGAAAAAATACAGACCAATATCTAATTATCTAGGTTTAAGAATGTGTGGGTGTGTGTTAATTACAAGCTCACATGATAGCTAAAGATTTGTTTAAACCATTCCAGTCCGGTTTTCACTCTAATCATTGCACTGAGACTGCTCTTGTCAGGGTTGTAAACCATTTACTTTTTGCTTTTGACTCAGGGGCTATAAGTATCTTTAAGCTCCTTGATCTTAGTGCAGCTTTTGATACAGTAAATCATTCAGTGTTGCTCAAAAGCTTGCAAACATTATTGCCTATCAAAGGCACAGTGTTTCACTGGTTCCAGAAAGAAATGGTTCCTTCTGACTGGCAGGCAGCATTTTGGTTCTCTTGAATATCCCGCCCCAGTCAATTATGGTGTACCACAGGGTTCAGTCTTGGGCCCCTTGCTTTTTATTATTTACATGCTTATTCTCGGCCAGATTGTAAGCAAACAGGGTCTTCAGCTTCATCATTATGCAGATGATACTCAGATTTACAGATAAAATCTCTTCCTCCTCTGATATACCACCTCCACCACTTATCTTTTGTCTGCTTTTCAAGCTATTAGTTGACATCAAATTCCTTGAAACTCAATAGCAACAAAACAGAGATTTGGAAAAGTTGAAAAGATTCTCAGTAAAGGAGGATGCCTTCCCATATCATCTTTTGTCTTTGAGCCCCACATGAAAAAAAAGTGTGATTGAGACATCTTTTTTCACCTTATAAATATTGCCCACACTAGGAAATTTCCATCAGTGTCCAATGCTGAGTGATTCACACATGCAGACTTAATTTCTGCTTCTCTTGACTCTATGGGCTCCTGAACACTATACTCAGTAAGTATAGTCCAAAATTCTGCAGCTACAGTAGTCTTCTAACTCACACCAGACCCTGGCAGAATATCACTCCCATATAAAGTCACATATTCAATACAAGATCCTCTTACTGCCTTTAAAGCTTTCAATCATCTGGCTCCATCATCATTCCCTAAACTCCTACATGATTATACTCCCTCACATAGGCTCAATTAATTTGAGGCCGGGCCATTGCTACTGTAGGACAGTAGGACTAAATTTTGGATTTGGGTGATTATGCTTTGTTGTCGCTGCTCCATTGTGATGCACTTCCTCAGATTCTCTGAGAGACAAATTATTTGACTGTCTTCAGTTCTGAACTTTAAATTCCCCTCTGTACCAGGGCCTACAGTATGTCTCATTGCCTTACATCTTACATCTACATCCTGTATGTTCTAAATTTTTCATCTTTTTTTTTCTCTTTTTCCTGTATAGCATTATTTCCCCATCTGAAGGACAGCACCTCCTGCAGCAGAGTGGGGCTGGTTTTTGAATCTGGACCACCTTTCCTTGAAGATCTCCCATCCAACTACTGATCAGGCTGGGCCTTTGCTGAGCCTCTGAGATCTGATTAAAGTAAGTGAAAACCTGGTGTTGAAACATTAGAAATGAGTTTTTGATGTGTCCTACATAAGCCGCTGTTGCACTAGGGCAGTTGCCTGTTTTTATTCTGGAACGGTACAAAAATGACCAAATTCTTAACCCATAACTAACCTATACTAAAAAACACAATACTTGTACAATAAGCCTTCCCTGTTGCTGATTGGTTTATTCAGACATTGCTTGGGCAGTACGTAAGATTCTACAGAACTTGTTTGCATGCCAGCAGTAGAAAATATTGTAGGTTAACCAATAAGGACTAGAAATTAAACAAGCTTTGTGCTTCCAGTCCATATTCCTTACCTGTCTTGGAAATTATTTAGCCATTGTAGTTTATCTGGGGTCCACAAATAGTCTCATTAAAGAGTCTGAAGGAATTGTTCTAAAGGCATAGTAAACTGGAACCTTAACCACACAGGACTCTGGTAAAATACCTTATTCAGATTTACTTCACAAACATGCATCCAGGAAGATAAGAGAGGATCGTTTGTTTTAATAGAGCACTTACTCATTATTTCAGTTTAGTAGAGCCCAAAATTGGTTTTTAGGCTATGCATAAACAATCCATTTTTTAATTATAATATTCATACAGCCAGGTTATTATACTTTTCAAGTAACTATTTGCCTTGGAATTTATTTTAAATTATTTTATGAATTTATTTGGCAAAATATTTTGTTATAGGATCCTTCTTATAATTGGGTTTCTGTCTGGCAGACTGTCCTAGGTCAGAAAGCATTCCATTTTATTCAATTGCACTCCTCTGTGCAATGGATAAAAAGATTTATATTTAAGATCTAAACTTAAAATTCAATTTTCCTATAGCAATACATTTTACAAAACTGAAAAACTCAATAATGATCCATAATGAATAGTTATGCTTTAATATAGATGTGTGCAATTTCTCCGTCAAATTACAATATAGTATTTGTCCACGATTCTTTGTATTTTTACTCTTGTATCAGCTTACTTGATTCAGCTAAAGATATTTCACTTCTTGATTTGTATTGAGTACAAGAAATGTGTTGGTTAGGAAACACTACAGACTTTGACAACAACATTATATTAACTGGATTCAAAAAGTCAATTTCTCACACATCTCGGTAACTTTTAAAAGAGAAGTAATTCGCATTCTTTAAATAGAAAAAAAGGATACAGCACACGTAGTGTTAAAACAGTTATTAAGTGAATCTTGCTTTTTTCTTACTGTTCTTATTTCTTTAGTTACCATTTTGTTGCTGTTATGCTTCAATGAATTCTCAGTAATCATATATCAAATCACTGCATATTTCATTTCGATTACCAAAATTAATACTGGCATCTCAAATCCCAACTTGCCTAACAGTTCATATAAAAAAACTACCGTTCTGTACAGTAAATCTTAATGGAGTGAAATGCTTCCAAAAAGCATTTTATTTAGTTTATTGTATCAACCCTCCTTTGTTAAAATTTAACTACTGAAAAACTTATAGAAAATGCAACCCGAAAACATTTCAAGTAAGGCTGAACAAGGCTGCTTGTTAAGTGGACCGCATATTTTTATTATTGTTGAAGACTATTGTTTGCTTTTCAGAACTTCTGCTTCTGTATGTACAGTATGCAGGGCAAGTACTGAGTCCTCACCAGTCCACAATAAATGTTCTCGGAAGGTAAGTAACAATAATAATGATTGGCATACAAAGAAGGAGGCTGGATTAAAAGGTTTTAAAGGGTTCCCACAGGCTGTTACTTCTGTAATTGAAAGGAACACAGAATATTCTATTGATTTTAGAATGTTGAGAATGCTGAAACGTCATTATTTCCAAGTTCCCAAAAAGGTCCAAAGGCTATAATGCCATACACAAAACAGCCAAAAACCGCCAAAAGTTGTAAATGTGCTGTTCTTCTTCACCTTGTGTAGAACACAAAACATAATAAACAAAGCAGTTCAGGTTGTGGGGACATCACATGGCAGTAATGTATGAACTAGGTAGCAGAGGTGCTGTGAGCTGTACAGCGTGTACAGTATCATCAACCCAGGCATTCTGCTGAAGCCAAAACCTCAACTTATTTAAAGGCACATCTGGACGAATTTCTTGAGTCAATTAGCTACTGAAAAATCAACTGAGCCAGAAGACTCCAGGGACCTTCCCCTTGTGGGTGACTGTTCATATTATTTTTTTATTTGCAGTTTTATTTTTTCCTGTTCCTCGTGACAAAACTTAATAAAAGATGGTTACATTCTGTAGAGTTTTGAAACTATTGTCCTCATGATGGCCAAGGCCACCACGAAAAACTCCAATTCAGGCAGATATTATAAATATGATCAAATTGTGACACCAGTTTTAAAATGCCTTGCTGTATAAATGGGTCTAAATAATAAATACGTTGTCTGATAGAAAAATGAATCACAGAATTGTGTCTGAAAGGGTTAAGACCATGTGTTAAACATTTCTGTGACAGCTGTGATTTAATTCTTGCTTTAGCTGGTGTTTTTTATTGAAGTTTTCATTTTTTCAGCAAGTTAAAAGATGTACAGTATGTAGGCAAAAAGTGGCACAACATATTTTTGACATGTATTACTCTCCCCAGTCATGGTGCTCTGAAATGTAATCAAGATGCAGTAACTTCAGAAAATGAAGTGATATTAGGACCCACATACAGTACAAAGAGGGACATATTAGAAACAAAGAGACATCAATAAAAAGGACCCAGTGAGCACGGAATAGGCAGTCCATTAATTGTGTAGTGAAACATGGCCTAGTTAAATGAAACACAATTTGGACTAGCTTTCAGCTGCAAAATTCCTATTTAGTGTAGTCAGTATGACTACAGTAAGTTAACCCAAAATGCCTCTTATTTAAGCATGTTTTTTTCTGGAAATGGTACTGAGTTGAGGAGGGATTGTTTTTAGAAGCTGGTACAAACATATCCTCTTTTTTTTTTACTTTTGATTGATTTGACACTTATATTTTGGCTGAACCCTGTTTGAACCCCTGGTCATGTTTCTAGGTAGGAATTACTGTATTTTGGTCCGTAAGTTATTACTTTCACCTCCTATATCAAAGTTACTTGTGAATGGCACATTTGATCAGGGAAGGTTAAGGTTTTCAAGCAGAAGGCTGAACAGCTCTGAGGCTCGGTTTGTATCTTGTGTGTCACCAGCACCTTCAGCAAATGTTTTTTTTTTTCCTGTCAGCAATCAGATTGCGAAATGGAAAGAAAAGGTAACATGTCGTGGAGGTCACACATCTGGAACATTCCTGAAGGAAGAATTATTTCTGTTGTCAATACACTCAGACAGAAGCAGTATAAAATACTCCTAGTAAAATTAATACCTGGCTGCATTTTTATATTTAACTGATAATGGTAATTCCTAGAATTTTCCTAGTGATTAATATTTCCTTTAATAACCTCATATCTTTTAATAGGATTAGCTACATCAAATCTTGCATATATCTTTGTTGCATTTGAAGGTGATTAATTTCTTTACAGAAGAATATGTCAATAAAGACAACTGATGGACTAATCTGATGAAGAATGTTTTCCTGTGAAAGGCATATCTCAGTGTTTTTTAAGTCTAAATCTTCCTAAGGTGTCTAGGATTGATGATAGTGATGATGACGGTTTTTACATGCTTGTTATGTTCAACAGCATCTTGAGAGATTTTTCAATTACAAAAAATGTATCAGCCAGCAGAAATGGGAAAAAATAAGTCCTAGACTGTCTTTCCATACCTCTGCTGAGATGTGAGACTGCATACACTAACATGAAAGTCTGTTTTTTTACATCCATTTACCTGTATGTATTTTGGCAAACAAACATTTTTTGGTCTTGTTTAGATTAATAAAATTAGTTCTATTAAACTATTTTATAATTCAGGTAATCTTTCACAATGTGAAAACATTTTAACTTACTAAGTTAAGTAAAGGCTAATTCTATGGTGAAATGTATTTAAACATTTGACTTATTTTTGTAAGCAGAAGAACTGCACTTGTCTAGATTGTCTTAAATACAGTACATCATGGGGTATGGGGAGACTGTGTTAGACATATTGCATGGACTGTGAGTGTACTACTATGATTTCAAATACTGATAATTTTATTTTTCAGAATCATATATTCAGGTTATGAATTCTTCTGCAAAGAAATATCTTTACTTGAATGTATGTTTCTCCTGCTTTGGTTCTCAAGAACAAAAGGAAATCGCAGTCAGTACAGGGTGAGGGAGATTAAAAGTATGGACTACTTCTGATCCCTACCTGATCTGGACTTCAACTGATGTTGAAAGTCCAGATATGTTCTTGATCTTAATAGCAATGTTTTCTATTACAATTAATTTCCACACTCAAAACCAACCATTTTTACTTTTTTTTTCATAGCAAAGTTTATATCTGTCTTAATGTTAAACATGTCTGTATTACCTCACAAACTGTATAAGACGTAAAAGAAACAGGATCAGGATAGCTACTTTTCTGTCTTGTATGTGAATGGAAGACAAATTTAATTCTAAATATAGCGCATGCCTACATCTCTCACATTATACCCTTTGTCTGCAGAAGATTCAGAGACATGTAACAGCTGGTTAGTTATCATCATTGTTTAATTTTGAAATCCTCAGGGGATGGTTGCAATAAGGTTAAAAAGAAGTAAATGGCTATCATTAAGCACAAAAAGCATGAGTGAATTTGGGCAAAGCATCTAATCAAATCCCTTTTGATAGAAATCCTGATTGAGGACAGCATTCATTATGGCTTGATGTTGTCTATACCTCATTGCACCAAATTTCTAATGCATTTTCAGTCTTGTTAGCTTTTTATGTTAAGTAAATACCACAATTCAATTCAATTGGTTCAGTACTGAATATGAATAACAGTTTAGGAATTGTAGAACAGTTTTCAGAAAATCCCACATAATCAGTATAAGCAATCTCTTCATTAGGGTTAGGCTATACACGCACCAGTTTCAAATTAATGAACCATGGGGTCATCTTAGCATTAGGTCCTTATTTTTATTTTGGTGTGATTTAAGTCAATAAATCAGACTGATTAAACCAAACAGTCTTCACAGGTTTAAAAAAAAAAAGTCTTGCAATGGAATGGCTGCTTGTTAGCTATCCTTTGTGAAACAAAATCACTCAGTTTCTAAAGCAGTCTAAAGATGCTGAAATTATTCCTAGCCCTTGGAGTGTTCTTGATCTGTGACATTTAGTCATTTTCTCTTTTTGAATGCATTAGCAGGTAAGCTTGGAGGCTTAGGAAATTATTCTGTTGAATGTCTAAATGTTGCAATAGCGAAAACTCTTTAACCCTAAGAACTAGAGCGATATCTATTTTGTTTGTAAACTAAATTACAAAGGATTTTAAAAATGTGAACAAGGCACGGTGGTATCTACTAGGGTATGATTTTTTTTCTCTCCAGCAATGGAAATTGTGTTATAAATGCATTTCTTTTTCTGATTTCTTTAAACATTGTAAACACTAAGCAGGATCTGAATGAGCAGTGCATTAACAACACACACTGTACAAACAGTATATTTACATACAGCCTTTCATATAAAAGAGTACTATCATTCTGTGTATAATGGTAGCCAAGAGCCTTCACCATTAAAGGCAAAACTATGTGTCCAAATGATGTACAGGAACATACTGTAATCTGTTGAAAGAAGTAAACTAAAAGAATAATAAAGACAAATTAGTGTGACTCTATTCATTTTTATATTTAATCACAGATTTAAATTAAATAGTGTAATAAATAATTTCATTTTATCTGTTGATGTTGTACATGCAGAGTTCATTACTTTTCAAGAACGTTACAGCCCAAAAGAGATGATAAATGTAAATAAAAAATAAATTAAATTAGACCCGTGGCTGGTAGGTCACTCCTGTCCATAAAAGTGGAAAACAGTGAACATGTAGTTCCAGGGTTATTTAAGCTGATTCCCTGTACGCATTGAAGTAGAACAAAATGAAGTAGCATGAATCCCAAAGTTCAGTACACATGTTAAATGAGAATGAGCAGCTTGGAGAGGGAACAGACAAAGGGAATCCTTTGGGATACTAAGAAGTTCAATCTCACAGCAATGAGGACAAGGGAAGAAACCTCAGACACTGACTGATTTCAACAACCATGAGAAATAGACTCCAAACCAAAAGCAACCTTTTCACTCAGCTTACTAGTCCTGGCCGGTTTGCAACAATCACCGAAGCAGTGTCTGCAAATCAGAAACACTAAAGCTCCCATATGAGGATAGTTTAAGTTTAATGGAGCCTTCTCTTTATTTGTATTGCATTTGCAGATAACTGCAGTGGTTGGAATGTTGTGTTTTAAAGGACTTTTCCTTCACTTGAAGAGAGATGGCTTTGAGGCAAAACATTTTGTTTAAAAAATAAACATGCAAGCTTGACCTCAAAGGGGGTGTGGGAGTCCGGAACAAACCACCCAGCCTTGTTGTCGGACTAAATAGAATCGCTTATTTCAAGAAAACAAACAAAGATTCCCAGTGCAATTAGATATTAAACGCCTGAGAATTTGGACTGAGTGGCCCTCTCTCAGATGTAACCTTTGTTATGTTCTTATGTATTATTAAGTTGATGAATTCCCTCAATCCTTTCTAGTGCACTCTGAAGTCACCTTGTGGCAGAGTTGGTAACCGTGTTGTGCATCATCCT